AAATCCGACATCGTAGCATGACATAGACAATTCACGTTAGCAGTTTGAAGAACACCTGCTTTCTTTTGATGATTTCCTTTAGATAACCAATGAGTGTTTGCTTTATATGACCCGTCAAGGCTCAGTGTGAGCGGCCGTGTGCTGAGGCCCACTGGTGTTCAAGGAGACAGAAGCAGAGATGCAAAAAGAAGCAGAGATACTTCAACATTTCTGCCTAGCAACCAGTAGATCAAAGAAATGACCCAAGTCATCAATTACTAAATGTTTCAAAAATGTTTCATTTAAACTGTTTTGTTTGTTTTAAAGGTCAGATTTAATCAAAATCTCCATGTAGGGATTTTCCAAAGAAGTGAAAGTATGAACTCAGTCTGATGCTGTTTTCACAGCTTCTCCAAATGTTTTGGTAAAATCATGTCCTACAGAGTAAATCAGGGGAAAAAAGACGCTACTTTGCTGACTTTACCCGTGATGAAGCTGCTGATAGAAAACAGAAAAATTCCCTGCTGCATGGCTCTGAGCGGTGATCCACTCTTCACTGGTAAACAGCTCTTTGTTTGCTCTGTGTTCAGCTGCTCAGTCTCAGTGCGACATGGCGGAGGAGCTGAGCCGGCAGCTGGAGGACATCCTCAGCACCTACTGCCGGGAGAGTCTGCAGGACGATGCCGGTGCCTTGCTCAACGGCCAGTCACACAGCCCAGAGTTCAACGGATTGACCGGCGAGAAGGAAGACGACAAGTCAGAGGAGAGCAAAGTTAACGGAGCCGAGAAGGAGCAGAAGAAGACTCAGGAGAAGAAGAAAGTGAAGGGCCTGGGTAGGAAACCCATCCAGTTCTCAACAAGTCAAAGGGATTTATTTGTTTCCATCATCTAGCAGACTTTTCTTTTTTGGGTTTTACGCAGGCAAAGAGATCACACTCCTCATGCAGACGCTGAACACGCTGAGCACGCCTGACGAGAAGCTGGCAGGCCTCTGCAAAAAGTACGCCGACCTGGTGAGTGATTCCTACTGCTGTTAACTTCAGCTTCTCTTTGCAGAAATTTGATCTGAACCAGCAGGCGAGTTGATTCGTCTCCAGAAAATTACACCCGACACTATTGAAGAGAAAATGTTTTTTGCAAATGTAATTAAAATAAGGAACCAATGATTCATCAACAGGATTTTCAGGCTTTCCTTCGGTCTTTGTTGCTTTGTTTTTCGCCAGATGTTCAGAGTTTGGGATCCATTATCAGAAGGATTCCTAACAGGCTGAACCGGCCAGTCAATGTTTTTATCTTTCTCCGATGCAGCAGTGCATCACTGGATCATTCTGGGCTTCATTAGCAGAGTCGCAAAATATACTATATTATTTAGTGGCGTCGGATGCAGATGTTTGTCCTGCAACCGGAGGGTTGTGGGTTGAATCCTCAGCGTCAGCTTTCAGTGCCGTTGTGTCCTTATTGCCACATTGCCTACTGATGGTGGTCAGAGGGCATGGTGGCACCAGTGTACGGCAGCATCAATGTGAGTGTCTGTGAATGACTGAATGTAGCATAAAGCTCTACAGCTATATAAGTATGGGCATTATATCATTTTTCCACCCCCCCATTCCTCACTACAACACTGATAAACTGGGTTTCTGCAGGTCATTGAAAATCATTAAAAGTTATTAAATTATTTTTTAAATTAAGGCAGGGTTCCCACGGGTCCTTAAAAAATCTTAAAAGGCATTGAATTCTTCAAAATAAAACTAAGGCCTTAATTGGTATTAAAATGTCTTAAATCAGTCTTTCGTAGGTCTTAATTTTTAAAACATCATAAATAGGATTATTTTTATTATGGTTTATTTTTGTAATCTAAATAAAATATTAAAATAGACCTTTTTTTTATAAAAAAAA